AATTATTAATTACTCGTATTTTTTACAAAGGCATCTAACACGTTAAATCTAAATTATTAATAATTTCCGTTTTATACTTTTTATTTATTAAATATACTCGGATTCTTTTTTTAATCTAACCAATCATTTCCTTGGGAATAAATTAATTTTTTCCTTTACAATTATTATTAATTAATAATTTATAATAAATAAAGATACGAATTATTGCAAAATAAGTATAATTGGTAGCTTTCCTTTTTTCCTCCAAATCAATAATAAATATACGAATTTTATACTGTGTATTTATTTAATATATGCACGGGATTTCCTTTTTTGTAATCACTTAATTCCTTAAATACCTCTCTTTTGTTTCCCTTTTTAAGAATACGGTACTTATGCATTCCAAAAAATGAAACTATCTAATTATAATAATGTATACATGTGTTTCCTTTTAAAGCCTTTTTATGCGATATATAGTTAATACGTATGAATTATCTTACAATATTGTATAAATGTGTCTCCAAATAATTAATACTTTTTTCGTTACAAATTATTAATTATTTTCATTTTTTTCGTTACAAATTACGGAGTATTAATTATTTTTTACCAAGGCATCTAACACGTTAAATATAAATTATTAATAATTTTCGTGGGAATAAATTAATTTTTTCCGTTACAATTATTATTAATTAGTAATTTAGATATAAAATTGTGTAATTATGTTAATATCGTATATAAATGTGATTCCTTTTGCCTTTTTTTGTTGTATTTATTTAATACTTATTTCCTTTTTTTCTCCATTTCATTCGCAGTAAATATGGGCCGTAGATGCATAGATTGACAAATATCAATGGCTCATAAGACTTGGCAAATGGGCGGGAAAAAGCATGGGGCATAATTCCCCTGCTTTTAAGAATAGGTTGATTGTATGTGATTTGGTAATCCAATTAATATTAGAATTAAATATACTTTTCTTTCATAATTTGTAATCCAAATTTTTAAAAGATGACTAAATAGATAAAAATAGAAAATATGTAAGATGAAGAAAGTATAACATAATATGAGGTAATAAATTGATAATAGATTGATAAATGCGATATTACAAAAAATGAACAAATAATTAAACTTTAATTTGAAAATAACATATATGCAAATATATCCAAAACTGAGATATACCCGAACCTAAATATATCTGAGACAAAATATATCCAAACCGGGATGTATCCGAAAAAAAATTGATTCGAACTAATTGACATCCGAATCAAATCTGAACTGACTCAAAATTGAATCGAAACTGAAAAATGTATAAAACCGAAATTAAACCAAATCAAAATTAAATTGAGAAAGATATTGAGTTGAATTATTCAAATCGGAACTGATCCGATTGCCTCCTCTAGACCAACCTTTTGTGTTATGAGCCTAAATAGGATTACATGGTTGAATTGGGCAGACGTATTGGGCCGACTCTCACCATATCCATCAAATATCAACTGCACAATCTAATATTTCTTAATTTTCGTAGCACCTCTTAATGTTCTGTATCTCATGTAAAAAAAAAAGTAATTGAGAGATTGATGTGAAAGGAGTTTTTCTATTAAAAAAAAGTGAAATTTGCACTGAATAGGACTAAAACATAAGTCATTTCTCAATGTAGGACTTATACTTTTTTATTCTCTAAATAGGACTTAATAATGACTAGTGAGAAGAATAATGTCCAAGTGATGCTGGACATTTAGTTGAATAATGACTAATAGATAATGACCAATGTTCCTACATTGAGAAATAAAAGCATATGGTCCTATATTGAGAAAGATATTATGTTTTAGTCCTATTTTGGTAAATTATCTATAAAAAAATCATTCAAAATACGTAACAACATCCTAAAAAATATTTTGTAAAGTAATCTTCTGGCCCCTCCGTCCCACAAAACTTTTATGTTTTCTTTTTGAGCAATGCTAGGTTCACAAACAGGATACTCACAAACTTTACAAACTTACTATTTATGGTTTAAATTTTCATTTTAAAATTTTTTAGACTATTTAATTTTACTTATTGAAGTTCACAAATAGTAAGTTTGTGAAGTTTGTGACCATTTTGTTTGTGAACCAAGCATTTACCTTTCTTTTTTCATCTGTCCCAAAAAAATCTCATTTCTAATAAAAAATTAATTTAATCCTTATTAATTTTTAACCCATCTATCCTATCACATCACACTTTTCACTATTAAGCTCTCCATCCATCCTATTTAAAAAAAACCTCTATATAGGAGTAAAACATATGTCATGTCCTCAAAATAAAAATTCAAAATTAAACTCCTCTAAATAGGAGTAATTAATTAAGCCATAAAAAATTAGTCTTCAGCGCAATTAATAATAGTGCAAATTCCATGCATCATTATGGCTGCCATTACGAAATGATTAAAATGTACAGTACCTCATAAAAGGGGAGAGTCTTAAATGGCTGCCATTATGGATGAGGTCATGTATGAATAAATAATACTCCCTCCATCCCACTGTCTTTGTCCACTTACCTTTTGGCACACCATCCAATGCACTTCTTTAATCCATTTTATCTTGTAATTTGTATATTAAAAAATTATAAAAATTATATATTAATAATCTATATGTTAAGACGAATCAAACAAGATCACACATGATTATTTTTAGGCTTACACATTGAGAGAATTTGATGAGTCAAAGTGCTTAGATGAACAGTTCCAAAAGTCAAAAGTGGACAAAGACAGTGGGACGGAGGTAGTAATAATAATAATAATAATAATAATAATAATAATAATAATAATAATAATAATAATAATAATACCTCCGTCCAGCTATATTAGTCCACTTTTGAATTTTGGAACTGTTCATCTAAGCACTTTGACTCATCAAATTCTCTCAATGTGTAAGCCTAAATATAGTCATGTGTGATCTTGTCTGATTTGTCTTAACATATAGATTATTAATATATAATTTCTATAATTTTTTAATATACAAATTACTCCCTCCGTCCTAAAACTTTCTTCACACTTCCCCCTTTTCCCCGTCCTAAAACTACATTCCCATTAGAAAAAAAGATGACAAATGACATTAATACCCTCATGTATTTACACCAATTATCTTCTAACTCTATATTTTGAATGATTGCAAAAAAATTCAAAAAATCTTTTTTAAGGAGAGTAAAATTTGAAGTCAAAGCCAAAAGTTAAAAATGGGAAAAAGTCAAACTGGGAAGAAAGAATTAGGACGGAGGGAGTACAAGATAAAATGGATTAACGAAGTGTATTGGATGGTGTGTAAAAATAAAGGTAGACAAATACTCTAGGACGGAGGTAGTAGTAATAATAATAATAATAATAATAATAATAATAATAATAATAATAATAATAATAATAATAATAATAATAATAATAATAATAATAATAATAATAATAATAATAATAATAATTACTCCATCGTAATAATATTAATAATAATACAACTTGAAAGCTCTTCACATGCATCAATTTTGCCCCCTCCCCTACCCCCACTGCACCCAGCACATTTTCCACAAGGTGATCATTATTTACACTAATTGCATTTTCATTTACAGTAATTATCTCGATCTCCACATCTTTTCATTTTTGTATGAATGTTTTTCTTTTAATTTTTTTGTTTGATTGCTTTTGTATTAGTTGTGTTTAGATTTTGCTTCTAATTTCAGCAAAATTTGGTGATAGTGACAAAAACTTGATATTGTATGTTGGCAATATTGACATTTCACTTTCTTTTTTTATATTAAATGTTGACATATTTGACATTATGCAATAACATGTTTGACATTATGCAATGACATGTTTGTCAGTATGCATTATCGTCTTTGACATTGTGGCTTTGGTTGTCATTGTATTGAAAACCTTTACCGTTGGCAGTGACACCATGACACTATGGTGGCGACAATGGCAATCTTGATCACAAGTTGGTAGTAAATTGCGTCATTGACAACAACAAATAGAGGCGATGGAGGTGGCATCCGCAACAAATGGGGATGAGAGTATAGTAGCAGATTGTGGTGGCGATGACGGCGATAGAGCCGACCGTGGCGGTGTTAGTGGCAGGATTGGTAGCAACAATGTAGATGCTGGCCGCATTTAATAGCGATGGTAGCAGGAGATTGTGGCGGTGGAGTGACGACGACGACAGTGGCGGTGATGGCAGCAGGGGTAGCGACAGTGACATGTGCATGGGGCAGGGGCTGTAGCTAATTTAAGTTTTTTTAATTTATATAATGTATTTAATTTCATATTTGTAATATGAATATAACTTCTATTTTGTTGCATGGTCAATGTTTTACTTCTATTTTATTCCTTAACTCTAAGCCATTAGATTAATTAAAAGTTAATTACTCCTATTTAAGGGAGTTTATGTTTCAACTCTTATTTTGAGGATATGTCATATGTTTTACTACTATTTTAGTCATTCTCCCATCCATTTTTATCCATCACATCAAAAGCATTTTTGGAAAGTCAACACCAAAATTCACTCCCTCAAATGTTTTAAAAATTAAAACCAAAAAGGTTTTCTGTGACGGAGTGAGTATATAGTGAAGAAATATGGAGTTAATCGTATTTTCTATAAAACAACTTGTGACATCTTAAAAAAAGATATAATATACGAGTACTATGTAATTTAAATAAATGGTTACAATTTTTTTGGGACTGCCTCTCAATAATCTTTATTTATTTGTGTATTTTCATTGATTATTTGATAAAATAAAATATTTTTGTCACCCCTTATTTTATAAAACTTTCGAGGTAATTTTTTAATACGTAAATTTTACTAATTATTTCTATATAAATTTTTAAATTAATTTTTTTAAATAAAATATGGAGTTTTATCTCGTAAATAGAAAATTCTAATCTAATTTTGGACCCGGTAATATAGCTAGTCTATGAGGTATTCCAACGAGTCCAGACTAGATTCTACCATATCTACGGAGCATTTTACAGTTCATAGTTCTCGGATAGTATTGGTGTTACAGTTGAAAAGCACCCCGTATTACGGAGTACCCGGGGTTAGTATATACGGAGTATATTTATATATATCGGGCATATCTTCTACCCATAGCCAGTCCATAACATTTCCAGGGCATAATAGCTTCGAGGAAAATAGTAAGGGAGATTAAGACAACCTCATAGGTATTGGCAATTCATATTTAGACGGTTACGGTTTTTTTTTTGTGTGTTTACTGTCTCTTGTTGTTCTTGCTCTATCTTGTTTTGCATGCGGCGGTAGGGTCCTGTGTTTCACTATTCCGTTTATGTTTGTTTGAATTCATATTCAATTAACTATCATGCGATGTGATCGAGTACAATTGTCGGGCCGATTCCGACAGATGCGTGTGATTGATTTTCAGTGTGTGTGTGTGTGTGTGTGGATGAATGAGGTTTATTGCTGAGGTTTACACTTTATTGATTGTTATTGTTGTTGTGTTTCATTTTTTTTTGTCAGGATGGAGGGCGGTCCGCATAAAGCAGATAAAACGGAATTCACAGAGTGTTGGAAGGCTATATGGAGAACGCCTTACATCATGAGGCTTGCATTGTCTGCTGGCATTGGTGGCTTTCTCTTCGGTTATGATACTGGTAATCCGAATTTATTGCAAATCCATCATAAAAACACTAGATCAAATAGATGTCAAACTCTTTCACACCCATGAAGAGAAAAAAACGACTGGTAGGGTTTGGATTTAATGTTTCACACTTTTCTGTTTTCATGCCTATGCAATTAGCTGTCCACCTTTGTACTTTGTGAACGAATTATCTAAAATAAACTCTAAATGTCATATTAGTGTTGTTGACATCACTGATTCACAAGACTAAAATGAGATCTATTGGAAGTGGGCAACTAAATCTGGAAGGAGAGAGTATTCACTATTCGCGCCTTAACCATTTGCGTTAATTTCTCTTGAAAATGGAATTAAGAAAACAGTTGTGGTTGTTTTTTGTACCAGTACTTAACCTGCTCCTGCCCATAGCCAAAATGGTCTTGCTCTTTTTAGTCAAGTGACAACCTTGACAGACATTGGCTTTGCCAGCAGTTCTGATGTTGCAATGCTCTTAAAGCAAAAACCACACAATCATCTGCACTTTTAATTTCATTACAGTTTATTTTTTTTCTTTATTTTTTGTTGCTATGAAAAATAAGTTCTGTTATTTGCAAACAAGGTGTTATTTCTGGTGCATTGCTGTACATAAGGGATGACTTTAAGGCTGTCCAGAAGCACACATGGCTGCAGGCAAGTGATTCCTGAATTCATATTTTATGATTTTCGTAAGAAAGGAACAAAAACCTATTAACCCTTTGCTACCAAAATTTTATAGGAAATGATTGTGAGCATGGCAGTGGCAGGTGCTGTCGTAGGTGCTGCATTTGGTGGATGGTTGAATGACAAGTTGGGTAGAAGACTAGCAATTATAATAGCTGATGTGTTGTTCTTTTTCGGAGCTTTAATGATGGCTCTTGCCCCAACTCCCTGGCTCATAATTATCGCCAGGGTATTGGTTGGGATTGGTGTTGGAATGGCATCCATGACTGCACCACTGTATATATCTGAGGCCTCTCCGGCTAAAATTAGAGGTGCTCTAGTCAGTGCTAATGGTCTGCTAATCACCGGTGGACAGTTTCTGTCATACCTCATCAACTTAGCATTCACCAAGGTAAATTGGAACAAATCAATTAGTCTCCGCTTACCTTTCCCCTCAATTCTTCCACTGGAATTTATTTCTTTTTTCATTGCTCTCATTCTTTTTTTTGTCTTGTCACTTGTTATTTATCCCCTAGGCACCAGGCACGTGGCGTTGGATGCTCGGTGTAGCTGCAGTTCCTGCTTTTGTTCAATTCATATTGATGATCTTTCTCCCCGAGTCACCTAGGTGGCTGTATCGACAGGTATTTTCAGATTTTTTTTAATTTATTTTTTATAGTTCAATTCATGATGGACGGTGCTTTTTGTTTTCAATTGTTTGTTCCATTTATCAAAATAGGGCAAAGTAGAAGAAGCCAGGGCGATTCTGGAGAAGATCTATCCTGTTAACGAAGTAGAACATGAATTGACGGCTTTGCATGAATCTGTTGAGCACGAGAAGGCAGAATCCAAAGCTATAGGAGACAACATATTTGCTAAACTGAAGAGTGCTTGGGGGAACACTGTTGTCCGCAGGGGTCTCTATGCAGGCGTAACAGTTCAAGTGACACAGCAATTTGTCGGAATCAATACCGTCATGTACTACAGCCCGACAATTGTGCAACTTGCTGGGTTCGCCTCAAACCGGACTGCTCTAATGCTGTCCCTCATCACATCTGGTCTCAATGCCTTTGGGTCTATCATCAGTATGTGCTTTGTTGACAGATATGGGAGGAGAAGATTAATGATCATCTCAATGCTAGGCACCATTGTATCCCTTGTGGTACTTTCGGTCCTGTTTAAACAAGCTAGCATCCATTCCCCGGCAGTCAGCGTTCGCGAATCCGATCACTTTGGGTCAAACTCCACGTGCCCAAGTTTCTTGAAAGCACCAAGCCCGGCTTCTTGGAATTGCATGTCGTGTTTAGGAGCATCTCAGTGCTCCTTCTGCAGTAATTCAGTCAGTAAAGTAAGGCTACTTATTACTCCTTTTATTTTATTTCCACCCAAGGATATATTAAAACATTTGCCGTTTGTTTTATTTTGCCTGCATTGAACGAACAGTATAATCCGGGGGCATGCTTATCGGCGACAGATGCAGTGGAAGGGATGTGCAAGTCAGAAAGACGTGGATGGTACACCCGAGGTTGTCCGAGCAAATTTGGGCTCTTTGCGGTCTTAGTCCTCGGGGCGTACATCATATCGTATGCACCGGGCATAGGAACCGTGCCCTGGATTGTCAACTCTGAGATTTACCCCTTGAGATACAGAGGCATAGGAGGAGGGATTGCCGCCGTTTCTAATTGGGTGTCAAATCTCATCGTGAGCCAGACCTTTTTAACCCTTACCGAGGCTCTCGGTCCTTGGGCCACATTCCTCTTGTTTGCTGCGTTTGCACTCGTTGGCCTTACCGCCATCTTCTTGCTTGTGCCCGAAACCAAAGGGTTGCCATTCGAGGAGGTTGAGAAGTTGCTTGAGAGAGGGTTCAGACCCAACATTTTCCGTCGCAAGTCTAAGGATAATGCACCCCAGCAGCAGCCATCACAAGTTCACAATGTGTTGTGAACGTGTTTTTTTTTTTTTGTATTTATTTATTTATAGTAATCCTGACAGTATTTTTAGATTTGGGAAATAATGAACTACTAAATCTGAACGGTGAAACGTCATGTGCTTCTTACTTTTTTAATATGAAGCTGTGGATGGTACTGGTAATTAAATGTGGCCATGCATCAGAATTATAATGCAAAGACACTATTTTTATACTTGTCAAGTTTTAGCTAGGCCCATCTTCTACCTCTTACATCCCCAATCGAGTTTGATTATACTGTATTTTGTTTGTTTCTCGTTTACAAATGTACTGTTATGTGTAGGGGTGGGCACCGGCCGGTCCGAGCCAAGATTTGTATAAACCGGACTCAGCTTTTTTTATTAAAACGGTTCGGGCCGGAACATGTTTTCAAAATTTTAAAATTGAAACCGGACATATTCCGGCATATTCCGGCTTGTTTGAAACGGGCCGATTCCCGGGGTCAACGTGTCCGAACCTATCATGATACTAATATTAAAAAAATAAAGTGATCTAATAAATTAATAATACATACATGGTCATTCACCATTAATCCACATCAATGTAGTACCCCCATTGTCAATTTTAAGTCATCCAACACAAAAAAGAAGCATGAATGAAGACAAAACAATGACAAAGAAGAGTAAGAGTGTTACTCGTAAAGGCGTTGTTCCCGGTGTAATTACTAATAATAATACAAAGTATGAGTTTTGATATATCAGTTATCAAATATCTAAAAAAGATGTTTGGTGAAATGGTGAAGATAAAAAGAGACATGCTTTATTTTATTACCCTAATTTATTTTATATTTTAATTTTTTCTTTTTAATTTCATTTACAATTTTCTCCAAACATTTTTCTTCAAAATTTTAAAAAACATGCCATATCTCCTAAATTTCAGAACACACATCTTCTCATATCTCAAAAGCTTACAAAACTGAAACAGAAGCTTAAGCTTCGAGCCAGCTGTTGTCCAAACACATTTATTTTTGATTTATTTTAGATAACTTATTGAACCCCTCTAGGTTCTTGTCAAACACCAATTGATATATCTTTTGATACGAGTATTTCTTACCACATAAAAGTGCAAGGTCTGGATTTTAAACTGAAAAATGATCTACTCCGTTAGGGAGTGATTTTTTTTCTCTTGAAAACTAGTGAATGTACTATTGTTAAACATATATCATCACATACTCCCCAACCATTTGGTAACCATCTTTTATTACTCCATATTGTTACTAGTACACACAACTTTTCTCCTGCAGTTGGTAGTTTTGAAAAACACCACTGCATAATGATCCTTTTTGAAAACCCCCTACTACAACTGTGCTCGCTTCTCATTTTTCTTTCTTTTTGTATAGTAAATAAGAAGCAGAAGCCGTCTATCACTGCAATGAGTTATAACTTCTTTCACGCAACGATCGCAAATCAAACTTCACTTTATAATGATCCTCTGATTTCCATTTCTTTGGATGGATGATTGCTTTGAGGGGGTCAGCTTCCGGAAAGAGGCGTGCAGAATCAAGACTGCAAAGTTCAAGCCAAGGGGGTGGAGAAAAAATAATGAAAGCTGTCACAAACGGCACGACTTAAAAACAAATGGAAACAGAAAGTGGAATCACCTGCATAACTGACACCAACAGCACACAAGAGAGCCATTTGTACATTGGCAAAAAGTAAGATAACCACAGTTGCTGCAAAAGTTTAACTCGGTCAGTGTTGTGAATAAGGTTGCTTTCAAACACATACAGTACATTTCTTAATAGGACTAGTAAAAGGAAATGCATAATAATGTGCGCTTAACATGGACATCTCACATCAGGAAACCAATTTTAGACAAGATTCATCATCGAACTCGGGAGGTTGCCTAGTCTGCCGCAAACAGAAGATGTGGAACTTTGGGGTCCTTTAACCAAATTAGCTCAAGAATAGCAATCTTTCTCTTTTGTGTGTGAAAGAAAGGTAGAGAGAGTGATGTAGTTCCTCTTTGTTAAGTGTAGCGACTAGCGATAAAGATAATCCTCTACGTTGAATGTTCTCGCCATTAAAAGATGAGCAAAGTAACCAACTTGTCAGTTCTTATTCTACTTGTCATTTTTGGTAAGTGTGGGGTATGTCTTCTTACTTACGTGTGTGTGTGCCTTTTGTCTTTGTGTGTTGTTCGTACCCTTTGTTTGCTTTTTATTCCTTTGTTGTGCTATAGGTTCCTTGTGTTGCTTGAGCTGGGGTCTCTTGGAAATAACCTCTCTATTCTCCGTAGTGCACTAGTGCGTACACACACCCTTCCCAGACGCTGTTGTTACGGTATTCAACTAGGTTGTTGTTGTTGTTGTTTCACCTTAGTTGAACAGTATATTCATGGTTCTTCTGAAATGACAGAAAGATCTAAGCCAAGGAGAAAAAGGGAGGGATAAACATCACAATTTGAGTCACTAGTCTCTGACATAGGCGCAAAAGTTGAAATTTCTTAATCCAAGCAAGAAAATTCCTTCCTTGGCACAATACACACAAAATAATCTTCTTAGAATTCAAAGCATTAGATTATCAAGTTCATCCAATTCTATTGCACAGAGAAAGAAATTGAAAATGACTCACCACACTGGGCAATGCCAATCAAGATCTGCTTCATTACAGGGCGTTGTTCGAGTCCGCATCGATCACCGAAGAACATGAAGAAATCCCAGAGGGCTATACATGATAGCAAACCAACGAGGGCAAGAGGCATTTGGTACCTGACAAAAGACAAGCCAAGTGATTAATGAGAATTGAGAAGACACAACTAGGCTGGAGTATCCTCCATATATCCTTCGCTTGATCATATCAACACCCCATCAAACTGATATGCGTACTCCAATTTGCAAAAGAAAACAAAAATATACTCGCAATAATTTTTTTTGAGGACCTCGCAGTAATTTTCTTAGAGTAAAAAAAATAAAAACTGGTAGCTAGGTTTTATCCCCCAAAGTTTTACCGTAGCTTATTCCTCAACTTTGTGATTAGCAGATATCAATTGGTATAACCTTGAAGCTTCCACCCATAAATGGCAAAATCAACCAGAAATGCAGATATAAATTTGCTTTGTTTTTCAAGAGAGAGGGATTGAGTAATAGAACATACAGAGAGCAGGCGAAGAAGATGATGAAGAGTGAAGCATAATTCCGAGCATAACGCTTGACATTCTCGTGGACCCTGAGGCGGGCCTGAGCCGGCGACGAGGGAAACGAGTAAGAGTCACTCGACCCGATGAGATAAAGTGTCCAGGACGGAGTCTCACCGGAGAAGTCGTTGGATGTAAGCTTGGAAAAGGGATTGAGGGTGAATAGAGAGAGTAGGGTTCCCAAGTATGAAAAAAACGATAAGAAAAAACCGGAGCTGATTGGAGAAATTGTGGTAGTCGAAACTGCATAGGATGGAGGCAAGGTCGTGGCGGTGGTGGAGGAGGACAGGCGGTGGAGGTCGGAGGTGCGTTGGTCGACAACTTCGAGGAAGCCACTGTCCCTGAGCCAATTCTCGAATTCGGATTCGGGCACGCTAAGAGATAACGGGTTAGCGGAGAATACCATTTTCTTTTCCTCCTCCGAAGCAGTCAGGACTCAGGAGTCTGTACTTGGTAGGAGTGTAGGACTAGTAGGTGGGTCCTTGGGACAATATTCCAGTTACTCGTATTATACATGCACTTTTGCTTGATGATACAAATAGGATAAAATTGTACCCCAAACATTGTACTCCATTTATACACTGCAGGTTTACACCGACATTTAGTGTTGGTGTAAAATTAATTTTGGTTAATGTACCAACACTTTATATCCGTGTAAATTTTTGTTAACGTACCAACACTTGTGTCAGTATAAACAATCAAAATATTTGTGTATAACTGTGGTGTACAAATGGAGTACAATTTTTGTTGTAAGTATAGCATGACCCATACAAATAAGATATCCATTTTGGTATATTTCTAACCTTGTCCTGTTCTGATTTGTCTCTTTTGATTTGGGAACGAGATAATTAAGAATGATTTGTATATTCTCAATGATTTAGTTTAACATTTTAAATAAATTTTTAGAGAAAAGTGAAATAAAAACATATACCCGGAGTACAAATGTTAAATAAATAGAATTTTATTTATTTTAAAGAGTTTGAGTTTAGACATAAATACACGGGACAATGAGAGGGAACATGATTGGATAAACACTTTTTAAACAAATATTTTTAGAGAAATGCTTGGTTCACAAACACAATCATCACAAACTTCACAAACCTACCATTTTTGAATTTCTATAAAAAATATTAAATAGTCTAAAATAATTTTAAAATGAGAATTTAAACCATAAATAGTAAGTTTGTGGAATTTGTGATCAATCCTGTTTGTGAACGTAGCATTGTCCATATTTTTAAGGTCTTATAAACACTTTCACATATCCAATTTCCCTTTGAAATTGGATAAAAAAGTAATGTGAATGGATGTTTGAGTTAAGACATAAATACACGGGACAATGAGAGGGAACATGATATTCCCTCCGCCTTAAATTAAGTTACATATTTACTACTCCTTCGTCTCGGGATGATGCTCCCATTTTGACTTTTCTTCATTTTTAAGAGAGTTTGAGTAAGGGCTTGAAACAACTAAAATACCCCTGCACTTCACCACATCCCACCACCCAATAGCAACCCCCACCGCCTGCCTCACCACTGCCCATCTCCCATTGACACCCACCACCGTTAGTCCCACCACTGCCCCGCCACCGCCCCACCTCTCACCGCTGCCGTCAGCCCCCACCAACACCATAGCTCACAGTCGCAAACAACTCCATAATATGGGAGAAAGAGAAAAGGGAAAAGAAAGAAGAAGTGGAAGAAAGAGGAGGAGGATCTCCGCCGAAGATAAAGACGCAGATCTACCACGACCACCACCGTCTGCCCCACCATCGCTACCACAGCCCCATCATCACCGCCTCCATCGCTCAAATCTAAAAGAAAGAATAAGGGGAAAGTAAAGAAGAAGTGCAGACCTAGACTCACCATCTCACCATCACTGCCACCATCGCACTACCGCTGCCGTCACCATCGCCGCGAGATCTAGAAGAAAGGTGGAGGAGAAAGAAGGGTGGGGGGATAAAGAAGAAGAAAGACAACGCGGGAGAAGAGAAGAGAAGGAGGAAGAGGAGGAGATGGAAGAGAGAGTGACGAGTAGAAGAAGAAAAAAGTTTGGGGAGTGAGAAAAAAATAACCAGCAAAATGGAGAAACATGAGTGAAAAAAAATCAGGGGAAGAAGTTGGAAAGAAGTGGCGGAGAAAAAAAGAAGAAAGAAAGGAAGGAAAAAAGAAAGGAAGAAAAGAGGGGAAAGAAATAAGATGAGGGTAATTTTGGAAGTGTAGAGGAAAAAAGGTAGAGTGGGAACATCATTTCCGGACGGAAAAAAAGAGTAGAACGGGAACATCATTACCGGACGGAGGAAATATTTAAATGGTCAAATTTTATTTATTTTATTTCCTTATTTTTCGTTACTCATTTAATACGATAATATAACCTCGTTACCTCTTATTTTCTAAACTTTTGATATAGTTTTTTAATATGTAAATTTTATTTTTTAATTCTATCTCATTTTTCAAATAATTTATATTGAAAATAACTTCAATAAAACATCATAAAATAAAATAGGTGATTTAAATTGGGATGGAGGGAGTACTTTTTTTCTTGGTTCCCTTTCATTTGATATATTTTGAAGACATGCTTGATATAAAATTTTGCAATTTCAAACGAAAGAGGTGTTGGAAGAACTAAGTAAACTTGATATTTAGAAGATATTTTACCATGAATTATCTAGAAGAATCAAGAAGGGATTATCAAGGAAATTATGTGAGTGTTTTTCTAAGCGTATAAGCTGTTTTTAACTTTTAAGTCAGTAGATGATGTGTTTTTCAGTGCTTATAAGCTGACTTATAAGCTGCTTGTACAGCAACAACATTACCCTAGTGCCTCAATGGCTCCCGCTCATTGCAGGGTAGGGGGGTCAGATGTACGTAGTCTGACCCTATGTTTAAAATATAGAGTGGCTGTTTCCAGATGACCCATGATGAGCATCGAAAGTTACATTGACTAACTGCTACTTTACAATTGCAAGAAGCGCAGACGATTTAAAGATCTAGAAAAAATAAGTAAATCTTACTTGTTTTTATGTCAGTTTTTTCATTTAACCGTTTTGACCTGATTATTAACAAAACCATCTCTCACCTATTGTGAATATCCCCAAATGAGCTATATACAAGTTAAGTTATTTTTCTATACGAAAGAGTTTTTTAATTTATAAGCAGCTTATAAGTTAAAAACTAGTTATAAGTAATAAGTCAATAAGCACCAGAAACACTCACTATAAGTGATGATGTTTCTCGATAGTTCTAGATGAGCTAGTTGAAGAGATCAAGTAGTAATATTTAATTGCACTAGGCCAATTTTATTCACAGGCATATGAATAAAAAATTATGAATAACTCTTCCCAAATTTACTTCTAAAATAACCACTTCCAAAGCCACACGTCGCCACTGTGCACCACACTTCCAAATAAATTCATTTTCCCAAATTATTAATTGAATTCTTCATATACTCTCTTATATCCCAACACCGTGGTATCAGAACCTGGTTGATTTTTCGACATGGCTAATTTGCAATCGCTTCAAGCCCCTTTGCTCAACAAGAGCAACTTCGACAATGGGAGCAGAAAGATGAAGGTTGTAACACCGTAATCCGTCTAGATCTGCAGCCCCTTTCGGACTAAAGTATTAACTTGGTAATCGTAAAAATTTAAAACATTTCAAACAAATTTATTTATCACAATAATATTTTTCATATCAGAAACAATACGGAGTTTTCAATATTGCAGAAGCTTACCAAATCACAATCACAAACATGATAAATTTATGTCAATAAATTCAAAAACCATCACATCCATCCCGACTATCTCGCCTTCCTCTACCTCTAAAATCCCATCAGATCATTCTTTCTATTTACCTGTGTGCAACAAATAAAACATACTGCACGCTCAGCGTTGAAGCTGAGTAAGGATATCTAATGCGTCGAACATCCATATAAATTGAATCTCAATTCATAATCAAATCATTTGATATCATGCACATAAGGTTCAATTCAAATATTCATCATACATGATTGGGTCAAAAAAGTGCACCGTTCTTTAGAAATTTGTCGTGCAAGGACGACCCTTGCACTATGAGATTAGCCTAGTTTGTACGACGAACTCACGCCACCTTAGTCTCACGAATGAGACTAGAAACAAGATGAGGGTACATGGTACTCGAAATGCCTGAATACCATGTACATACACTAAGCCCAAACTTGTGATGTCGGACTGCTAAGTCCCGCACAATCACACTATAAGAGACGCATGAGGCATGATCTCTTACGCATGCATATGATGTGTTATGCTTTCAATATAAATGACTGAATGAAGGATAATGATATGAACAATTTGTAAAACAATATGAATATATAATCATGCATTGGTTTAGTGGATTAAAACATCATTAGAGTATCAATTTGATAAATCACATGTTGCACAAATTTAATTGATTAAGTTACGGGGTCCGAAATGGTTGATCATTTGGCACTACAAATTCTATTTTTATTGTTTTAAGTATCTAAAATACTTTCTTAAACCATTTGAACACCTATGATATTCATGTAAATGTTTTTGGAATGATTTCAAATATTTATATTTATTTATGTATATATGAACTTGGTAGATTAAGTGTATTTTGACATCAACACATGGTTGACTCAGAAATGTATCACATATATATTTTGGAGATGTTTTTAACGTATAGATTAATATATATGTTCATGTACGTATGTGATGAATGATTTGACAAATCTAACGCAAGGGTACGGACTTGGAAATCAAAGGCCAAAACCTCATTAACGAATGGAAGTGAAAACAACGTCAAAATTCACAAAGTTTGTCATTTCCGTCAAAGTTGGACAGCTTGCCGTATTTTGATCATATCTCCATCATTTCTCCATGGAATTGCAAACCGTTTTGATTCTATGGATTCCTAAGAGTTAAGGCTATAACCTTTTGAAGAAAACATGTTAGAATAATGAAGTTAAAGTGTTCAAATATAGCTCACAAGTGGACTGATATGTGCTGTCAAGATTTTGGATATTTCGATGAAAGATGATTGCGACGATCAACTTATCAACTTCAAGATTCCAACGTTGAACCTTCTCTATGATACTTTCCAGAAGTTTCTCGTAATGGTTAGAGAGTCGATCATCAGTGTATGGAATATAATGAAACAATATGAATACGATGAAGAAACTAGCCCAACCCGAGAATAATGAGACATGATGAAGGAATTAATATAGGCAATTAAATGGAAAATGGTGGTGAGTGGAAGCGTAATGGCTTGTGATTAATATTGGGGAGTTACTTCTCTAATTTCTATTCCATTATGTTAAAATCTAACCTGAACGGGACGTGGTTTTTCCCCTGAACGGGTCCAAACTGAGATCCGTTTGCGTATCTGGAATCAGAGAGTCAAGACGAATATTATCTAAGGATTATATTTTCCCGACTCCGGTCCAAGTTAATAATTAATTAATTAAATAAGTCAATTCTAATAGACCGGGTCTCAGGGCGTTACATTTAAGTGGGCTAATTGATTTGTCATTTAGCCAATGACAAAAATTAATTTCCAATCTTTGTTTTATATATAGACCACACCATTAGTCAATTTGAAGAAGCATTTTTTGAGAGGAATTTTGGCCATTGATTTTTAATGATAGAAAATATCTTTTGTATTCCGTTAATATCATTTTTTATGTATAGAAAATATCTATAATATTAGAAATATTTTCTCTAGAAATATACAAGATTATTATTATCCCAAATTTTAATCTTAATATTTTATACTACTATAATCTTTACTAGTATAAAGATTGTGGTAGACTCCGGCGTTGTTCGTGTGTTAAAGTTAGAGTCTAGACGCTTGAGGGCTTACGTTTGCACCATCAACGCTCTTCCTACGACTTCTTCGTTTATCGCTTCCAGAGAAAGGTATAAATTTCTTACTTAGTATAAGTTCAGGGAGGAAGGTTCACGATAGACCGGTCATCTATCGAGAGAGAGCCTTCCTCAGCTCCTTGAGCCGAGTGATGATTACCAATCAAGCCTCAGCGGAATCAGGGGCCTCGTCTTGTATTGCAGTGGCAACACTCTGCTGAGGGGGATTGACCGGTCGATTGTGAGAAGTAAGGGGGCATGAGACCGGGAGATGGGGTGGGAGTTGGAAGCGTAAGAGTGGATCGAGACATTCTGGCTATCGTCACTCTCGAACATGTTTATCCTACTTAGAACTACGAACTACAAGCTAATTAGTAAGTCATTTTATTTAGTTATGGTTGTTGAAGTCGGAAACATTGCAGTTTTGTATTCTTTTATACCCGTCTATTTATGAAACTAATGTATATTAACTATTTTGTCTCCACATTACCCTTCTTATACAACTCAACATACCCTTCACCCAAGTGAGCAAACATAAACTTACATACTCTATTAACTACTATTATAAGATCTTATAGTCGAAGTAACGATTCTCCAACCCTAGTTAGAATCTCAAGTTTAACAACTTTGACCTAGACAATTAAAAAGGGTAGATGCTGCATAATAGTTGTACTTTTTTCTTCTAAAATACTATATCTTCGTTCTTCACTCCTCCATTGACCATTTGAATGAAACATACAATTTTTTAAAACTCCATCTCCCCAATTATCCCCTAATGTCTCCTCCTTTAAACTGATCTCCCCAGTTCCCCTTCCATATATCCTCCTCTTTTAAACCAAACAAAAAATCGTTGCAAAAACCTCAAGGCCAAAGTGCTATTTGCACCCTTATTGCAGGGCATAATTATAAGAAAAAGGAAAGGAGACTTTCTTGAAATATTTGGAGGAATGGAAGAAGGGTTTAACTCGAACACGCCATGTCAAATCTCTAAGAACTTCAAAATGTAAAGTGAAGGAATGGAGGAGGAGCCACTGCGTATATAGGATACATACTACCCCAATAAGCCTATCAACATTGGACATGTAGCAAGAGCAATGATGTGCGACCATCATTACCTACAGAGACGAAGTGATGACATGGCGATTGAGGTAACAATGCTAGAGTCGGTTCCGTAGGTGATTCAACGACTAAGATTGAATGGACCTCGGATGTTTAGGGGGCACTCGGCCCACTATTCAAGAAAAATTCAAAATTTAAAAACTCAAACTAGGTGGGATCTTGCAAATACCAGTTTAGAAGTTTCTCCCCTAGATGGTCCCCACAAGGCCGGAAGCGCATGACTCGTTGATGGGTATAAACCCATGGTAGATTGAGCTAATGACCTACAACCAAGATTACCGTGTGGATAACCTTCGACCGAGCAAACGACCTATAACTAGGATGACTTGGTATAGAATAAGAATTAACTTAAGAGTATACTAAAATGAGGTATCCCATTTATACATCATATTTTAACAGACACATAATGTCGGTGCGTGCATATATAATACTTGTGTGTATTTCTATGAACTCTAGCATTTCCATAAAATAGACACGACCAAAATTTAAAATAGGATAAAACTATTTGTACCCCAAGTTTTTGTACCCCGCATGTTTGCACCAACATTTTGTGTTGGTGTAAAACTAATTTTTATTAATGCACCAATACTTTGTGTCTGTGCAAAATTTTTTTAACGCACCTATACTTGTGTCGGTATAAAACATGAAAATGTTTTTGCATAACTACGGAGTACAAATGTGGTACAATTTTTAGTGTAAGTGTAGCATGGTTCTTTAAAATATTTAAAAAAAAATTTTTGTAGAGGTTTGTAGTTTGTACGCTCCAACCTCCAAACCGTTCTCCGTCTGTCAGTCAGTCACACCGCCATATCCACCGTCTCTGAAAATCCGCTTGCAGTGTCTCCGTCCAGATCCTATCTTTTCCTTATCTGTCAAAACCCGAGAATGCGGGGGGCACAACACTGCTCATTCTCCATCGTGTCCTCCCTTCGCCCTCTCAAACCTTCTTTTGCCCCATTCAATTTTTCCGTCTATAACCCCATCAAGACTCTGCGTCCTGTAAGGGCCCAGAAACTCCTCCCGGCGCGGCATGAATCATGGCTTGCTAACGCCTCGCCACCACTTCATCTTGAGGAAGGTCCCATCGAGCTTCCGTCTTCCGATTCCTCCATTTTTGCCTCCTCAGACGACCCTACTCCTATCCAAATAGCCACCAGTCTCCTCCTCACTGGAGCCATCTCAGTCTTCCTCTTCAGGTCTCTCCGCCTCCGTCTGAAGCGAGCTAAGGAATTGGTAAAGTATTCACGTTTTCCCTTTAGAATCGATTGAACTTCTGAATTTTAATTTCAGTGCTTTTTTGCTTCAGTAGTACAGAAGGATATTCATTCATCTCCTACACATGATTTGATTTGAGCATGTTTCCATGATTTATAATAAATACATTGAAATTAAGCATTCTATTGCATTGTTGTCCTGTGGAATTGCATTCGGCTGCTGTTTGAGTATATAGCTTTAACCTTTCACTATAATTTGGAGTTTCCATTTTATACATTGAACACATCCTGTTGAAACTAGAAACTTAGGTCATCGGGAGTGAAGCAAATGTCCGAATTGGAAGCAATTGAGAGCCTGAAAGGAATTATGCTGACACCTACTGATGCCAAGGATCCACCACCTTCACCCGTCCAGGCACTCTTTGGTGGTTTGACAGCTGGTGTTATTGCACTAGTCCTATACAAATTTACAACAACTATCGAGTCATCTCTCAATCGGCAAGCAATCTCTGATAATTTCTCGGTTTGTTTCTCGTTAGCCCTGTGAATTTGTTGTGTTGGATCTAATATTCATGTAGAGAGATTTAACACTAAAAGTAATGCATACTTGATTTTACATTGATCATTTCAGATACATTGAACATCGATCACTAGCCAAAAATATATCCCAGGTTTTCTTGAAAAAAGATTACGAGATACTCCATGTGTGATTTGCATTCTCACAGTTTCTAGTGGATTATTGACCACAATTTAGCTGCATTGGTTGACATTTATCTTTAGGAAAAAGTGGTACACATGCTTCACATTTTATTGAGTTATGGTTGTTGAAGTCGCAAACATTGATGTTTTGTATCCCTTATAAAATGACTTGCTAATTATGCCCTGCAACAAGGGTGCAAATAGCAATTTGGCCTTGGGGGTTTTCCCACGGTTATTCGTTTGGATTAAAAGTGGAGGCTGTATGGGAGGGGAACTGGGGAGATCTGTTTAAAGGAGGAGACATTAGGGGAGAACTGGGGAGTATGTCTCATTCAAATGGTCAATGGAGGAATGAAGAAATAGTATTCTAGAAAGAAAAAAGTACAACTGTTATGCAGCAGCTGCCCTTTTCAATTGTCTAGGTCAAAGCTGTTAAACTTGAGATTCTAACTAGGGTTACAGAACCGTTACATCGACTGTAAGATCCTATGGTAGTAGTTAATATTTAAGTTTATGTTGGCTCACTTGGGTGTAGGGTATGTTGAGTTGTATAAGAAGGGAATGTGGAGACAAAATAGTTAATATACATATATTTCATAATTAGACAGGTACAAAAGAATAAAGAGCTGGGTCAACCTGGACAGGTAAATAGGAGCAAAGGGACTATTTGGTATAATTGGTTATGTAAATAAGTATTTTAGGAATTTATATGTATAACAATAATAAATGCTACCATTGGGACTCATGTTTAGAGCCCCTGAAGTAGATAAAAAGTGCTACTTCGTTATCAATATAAGAACCATGGTTTGTGTTCACGGTTGCCAAAGGACTAAGGCCTTGTTCGATGGAGCTGTTGGGGGTTCTTTCGCACCCCAACTGCTATGGTAATCCACCTTCATCTCCAAATGGGAGCGATTTGCAGGTTATTGTAGTTGCTGTAGTATATTTTTCTTTCCCAAAGTTCCTCTGATTTTTAAAAAATACCTACTTTTCCCCCAAATACTTTAAAAAATTCCCTCATAAGTAATGCGCTTAAAAGTAAATTTACATAACGACATCAAGTCAATGGAACTCTATAAACGTAATATATCTAAACAAGTGTCTAACAGGTACAAATGGATGAAACAAAAGGCCCCTAAGTTGTACAGTATGGTCCTAATTTGAGAATTCAATTTCTTATATATCCTCGTGTTTATATTATATGCCAGTCATTTTTGTTCACTCTTCTCTTCTCAATCATTTTCATCAATCTTTCAGGTTCGTCAAATGACAATAACAATAAGGTACGTGTTCTACTTGCTGACACGAACTCCCCAACTCCCTTACCAATCACGTTGATTCATAATGTTGATGACTATTATTGGATTGTACAATATGATGTTGCAGAACAATCGTTAATGGCTTGTTCTACCTTGCAACATGTGTGTTTGGCATGAACTCTATAGGCTTATTCCTCTATTCTGGCCAGCTTGTCTTAAACTTGCTCTCTGGGAGTTCTACTCCAAGTCAAGAAACTGAAAACAAAAGAGAAACACAACTGAGCTCTGATCCTGTAGATACAAGTGGGAGAAACATTAATAAAGATGATATAGCTTCGGAGAGTACAGATTAATTCAAGGTATAAAAAAGAAGGGAATAAATTCAGTAGCCGAGTTTGTGTGATGTACAAATTCAATGAGGCCACACCTTTGTTGCTAAGACAATGTCTATTCTGCCCTTTTTGTTAGCCCCAACATCAGAATGCCGCGAGCTACTTAGATTACAGATACTAGAACCCCCCCTTTGATTTAGAAAGTACTTCGTAGTTCTTTTTATTAAAACACACATGTAAAGTACTGTGACGATGCTATAGCACTATATGAAGATCATAGACAAGATACTTCATCATGCAGGTCCAGAGAAATTTTCCTATTCTTTGGGGCTTACATTCGTGTGTGGGGCTTCGTGTAAGAGTCCTCTACTGAACTTTCGTTAGGATCCGTTTGGTATACGGAATTGATGGAATTGGAATTGAATTGGAATTGAAATTCCATGAGATTCAATTCCATAAAATTGAATTCTGCCAATTCCAATTCATTTTTTGCATTATCAATTCCAAATCCATATAATTTTTGTGCTACCAAACACCAGAATTGGAATTAAAGTCCTCAATTCCAATTCCATAGTTTGAATTCCATGTACCAAACGGGGCCTTAGAGATTTTACCAGAAAATACAATAGAACGTCCCTTGAAGTATAACAAAATCCCAATACAAAAGGCTTCAAACTTAAACCAGGTTTGAGCTCATCATGATTGATCGTAACACTTTCATTAATACATTCTCAAAAGATGTGCTTGTAGTCCTATTTTAAAATAACTTGTGAAATTACATTTTATGTCTCAAATTAAAATTAACATGATACATAGTAAAAAAAACTATCCGTGGAAAGGTACCACAAAAGGACGAGTGTAATATTTGATAATAGAGGATTAAATGTAAAAAATTCTCTATTATAAAAGATTAATTATGGAATTTTCTATAATAATAATAATAATAATAATAATAATAATAATAATAATAATAATAATAATAATAATAATAATAATAATAATAATAATAATCTATACTGATAGTGATTAATGACACCATTAATGATTGCTTCAAGGTGTTTCAATATAAATATTGTTTCTAACGTATTAATCTATATGAAATGCATTATTTGGAAACAAAACTCTTTAATTGAGTACTCTAAATAAATAAATTTTTCTAATTATTTTTTTTCGAGAACTTATAATTTAATGAGAAGACTTAAAGAATTTTTGTCTAATTGAGATTGAAAAGTTGCTTAATTGAAGTAGGTGGTCTTTAAAGAAATTCAGTAGCACTGGATTTCCAAATAAAAATCCACTTAATAGATATCAAAATAATTTTTTAGTAGATGAATTGAACTATGACAAAGAAAAGTTATCATTTGACCTTAGGGGATATTTAATCAAAGGAATATATCTAAAGAAATAATGGAGGTCATGACAGCTAAAAGAGGGAGTTTTTTTGTGAATGGTTACAGTGAAACTCAAAAATATTCCTTTTATGCTTCTCTCAGGTCAGATGGTAAGGTTTTCTTGAATGTTGCATCCGGTTGCATTGTAACATTGCTTTTGCCTAAGGAAAGGGTTGCACACTTGAGATTCATAATCCTTTTGTTCCTAACCAAGTGCTTATCCTGTGCCATCAAATATTCACAGAAAATAAAAAGGCTAAAGCAGTCTTTTCCACTATTAAAACCTCGAACAAATAAGAGTAGTCCTAGATAAGTGTTGAAGGAACCATCTCAACCAAAAGCTCAAGCTTGTAGTTGTGGCCCAGGAATGATTGTTATATACTCTAACACGCCCCCTCACGTGCAGGCGTGACCTCTTTGAGCCTTGCACGTGAAACCTTGATTTTTTTTAAACTGGGTGGCGGTGAGTTTCGAACTCGTGACCTCTTGGTCATCAAAACACTGATACCATGTTGAAGGAACCATCTCAACCAAAAGCTCAAGCCTTGTAGTTGTGGCCCAGGAATGATTGTTATATACTCTAATAATAAGGAAAACGCATCTCTTCTAGTCTTATTTATGTATTTTTCTCTAAAAAAATTTGCCTAATGATTTAAAAATCTTAACTTATTTGGGACTCTTTTTACATACAAATATTAAATATATATGGGGTACGGTAAATTTAGTACTCCCTCCGTTCCTTTAAACTCTTCCACTTTTGACTTTTGGCAAAAATAAGAAAAGTGTAATTTTGGTTGACTTTCCAATTTTGCCCCTGATGTGATGGGTAAAAGTAAGATGTGATAGTTTGGTTATTAGTGAAAAAGTATGATGTGATAGGTAGGGTATGAAAAAGTAAGGGTAAAAGTGGTTTTTTAATAGAAAGTGGAAGTGTTTTAGAGAATTCAAAAAAAACGAAAGGGGAAGAGTTTTGTGGAACGGAGGGAGTATCTTTTATGCATGTTATACACTTTTTTTAAACACGAAATAGTTAGACATGACAAAAATTGATCCCACCTGTTGTATTTTATCCCACTAATTTTGATTAATAGAAAGTTAATTTATATTATACTACAATGTATATTTTTGCATTTTGTGATCAAAATTTAAAAGATTTACCACAAAATTCAAACTTAAATAAAGATATGAGACTCTGCTAGAGACTCGATTACAATGTAATATTTGTTCATACTTTTTCAACCTAATAATCTGACTACGCCTCCAATGGGGCTCAAACCTGTGTGATTTTCTTTTATTTCAAAGGAAAAATTACCTAATTAATACTCCCTTTACCCCTAAAATGTTCTCATTTTTACTTCTTATTTGAAGAAGAGTTGAAAAAGGTAAAAGTTTACCAAAATAGCCTTAATGAAAATCGGTGGAATATATAAAGTAAATAGGAGTAGTTGTTGTATTTTAAATAAATGCAAAAAAGATAATGGGAAGATCTGATATGACTAATGGGAAGATCTCCGTGGAACGGAGAGAGTAATTAATTTTTGTTGAAAGCACCTACTTAATAATTAATTGATTTTAAAAGTTTACACTAATTAAAAAGAAGTAAAAGAAATGAGTTAAGGACACCATTATTCCATATTATTTACATAACAAAATTTTAAGTAGTGTCTTTTTTATACATATTTTTATGGAGCATTAGCTCTTCATACATATTTTTATGAGTATTGATAATTTGACTAAATAATACAACCATGTGAACTCTTATTTTGTAAAACTTCTGATGTGATACTTAAATAAAACAAGTATAATTTTTATTACTCCTTATATTTACATAATTTTAAAATAAATTGAAATAAAAATTAATTCAAACAATCATTGTAAATTGCACTATGTCTTTTATTTTGGGAAATCAAGAGTAATTACGATAGATAGAAAGATGAATTATAGTTATTTTGTCCCAAACTAATCTTTTTATTCTAGTTTACAAGGTTTGACTGAATCTATTTCAAGTTAAAATGATATAAATGTGTGTGCAAGAATAAAATATATTACGTATCACAGTACAAGAACTAACATAACTACATTTATCTATCAAATTAGTAATAAAAATAAGTAAATAAAATAGATAAATTATACTCCCTCTCCCTCATAAAAAGATTTTTGTTTGACTTTCAAGAAATTTGAGAAAATTATTTAAATGTAAAAAATAAACGGCTGAAATTTGTTTATATGAAATAAAACTATTTGAGTCACATGTTCACTCTCATCAAAAGAGTAAAGTTGGAAAATATATTTTCTTAGATATGGTAAAAATAAAAGTAAAAGTTTTATGCGATGGTGGGGTAATATTGGGGAAATATTAGTCATAAATATAAATAATTATAAAATACTGAAACTTATCAATTATGAACATCACTAAGACTACAAAATGGTACTGTATCAAATATGTAAAATATTAAATATTTAAATCCATAAATAACAAGTTTGTATATTTGTGACTTATTTACTTGTGATTCTAAAATTTCTTGTAACAAAGTTACAAAGAGGAAAGTATTTAGAACGAAATTTTATTTCAAGGAGCACATGATGTCTGAACCGCACATGGCATCTGCCTCAAACCTAATAATAATATGAGTTTAGATAGCCTTTTCTGGAGAATCCACAAATAAACACAATTCAATCCGAGATTCACATGTGGGCTCTATTTCCTTTGGAGAGAGGGAAAAAGAGGGAGGGGGGTGGAAAGAAAAGAAAAAGATAAAAACTCTTATTCGATATTTGTAATTGGTGATCCTATGGATAATCATCTTCATCAAGTTGTTCTTCCTCAATTTGGAAAGGACAAAAATTATGAAAGGAAAGAGCCAGGCGAGCTTCTGGATGAATCATGGTTTTTCAGAAATTTGTTCGACAGAAAACCAAAAATGTCAAGATGCCATTCTGATAGTTCCATGCTTCGTGGAAAATCAACGGAGGAAACATTTTCTTCAATCAATAGATTTGGGGAAGGTAAAACTTTATTGTTATTATTGAGTCGGGATGGCGGAAAAGGTTTGCAGAAAACCCCCTCGCTACCGCCAATTGTGACGACAATCATCAAGCAAGATTCAGATCATAAGGCAGAAACAAACGAGCCAATATTTCCAGAGCCGCTGCGTAACAACCTGTTAAGGGCACCATCTCTACCAGTTTTTGCGGGCACCGAAGATGACGATGATGATGTTAATGTTGATGATGATGATGATGAAAGTGATTTTTGTATGGGAAAATTGATTAGGCAAGCTTCATTAAACCAATCCAAGCTTCTCCTTAGACAAACATCATTTAACCATCCCAGATTTCTCCCCCCTAGACAAACTCCCAAGGTGCTTTTAATGAATGATTTCAGACATTAATAATTTACTTAGAATAAAAATCCCCTGCACTTTCAAAGAATTGAATAGCTTATTCCCAACATTTATTTTTGAACTCTTTCTTTTCGTAGGGTGTAATAAGAAGTTGCAACATCTCTACATTAGGGAGTAAAAAACCCGAGCCAGAGATCATCGCCTCCATTTCAGGAACTGATTCAGAGGAAAGAAAATCAAATTGTGTCCAAAATAATTTGAAGACAAGAAAGGGTCATTCCGGTCAAGATATTGATAATGATTCGCAGGGATTCAAGAATTTGGGTTTGAACTGCCATGATGAAGAAAAGGTGACTAAAAGAGCGTATCAAAATCCATCAGAGGCGGCATGGCAGCGGGGAAAAAAGCTTGGCCCCCCTCCACTGCATAGTGGGGTGGCTTATAGAAAATCAACCGAAGACATGAAAGCGCAAATAAAGTTTTGGGCTAGAGCTGTGGCATCGAATGTTCACTAGGAGTGCTAGTTCATCATACTCTTCCATTCTTTGGGAATTCATGGTTTAAGTGTCATACATATAGTAATGTAGTGTTGTACGTGTTACAATACATATGTTTGAGTTCTCGAACCAAATATATACTTAGCTTTTCACAACATTCTTTGGGATTAGAAAAAGCACAAGAATTTGGTTATTAATGAAAAAATAGAATATTTTTCTAGGCGAGGTCAAACAATTACTTCCTCCGTCCCGCTATATTCGTTCACTTTTGACTTTTGGAACTGTTCATTTAAGCACTTTGACTCATTAAATTCTCTCAATGTGTAAAGCCTAAATATAGTCATGTGTGATCTTGTTTGATTTGTCTTAACATATAGATTATTAATATATAATTTCTATAATTTTTTAATATACAAATTACAAGATAAAATGGATTAAAGAAGTGCATTGGATGATGTGCAAAAATAAAAGTGGACAAATATAGTGGGACGGAGGGAGTACTCAATAAAATTTCTCGGAATGACATGTCTCCTTTAAGAATATCTTTTCCAATTGAATTTAGCTAGTGACTTAGTGTTCACAATTATTATTCAATGGTACATATTAACTTTGACAATGATAAATTTAAATGCTTAAGATGTCAAACAGTGACTACCTCAAAAAAATTATCAACAACCCCTTTGGAGTTTGGCCTAATTATACAGGATATGTGTCTTATGCATAGGGGTTGATTTGATTTAGCCCAACAACTATGGCTAGGGCTGTCAACGAATAGTCAAAAATCTAATTACCGTCCGCATCCGTATCTGTTTAAAGGGGAAATATCTGCATCCGATTTAAACGGATATTATCTGATCCAAATATGCATCCATTTAAATAACCGTTTATCCGTTATATATAGTTGTTCCTAATGTTTCAATGCAAACATATCTCGACATTATTCTCACTATTGTCTCATCTCTGAAACTGGCTCATGAGGATATCTCTGAACAAGATATTATCCTTTGTGTGCTTCGTGGCCTCCCGGCGGACTACGCCTCGCTCAAACAAAACATTCGCACTAATATTGCAACAGTCACCTTTAATCAAGTGTCTGCGTGGTTGCTCTCTGAAGAATTAAATCTCACCTTTGAGAAGAAACTACACCTTGGTGACTCTGGTTCTCCCTCGTCAACAGATCTTCACCATGCATTATTCACCAACTCATGACGGGGTACTATCCGGGGTCGTGGTCGTGGTCGTGGGCCATATTGTGGCCGTGGTGGGCCCTCCCGCGACAGCAGCTACAGTGGCAGAGGAGGCCGGATGTCCTCCTACCGTGAGGATCCACGTGGTCGCGGTGGTGGACGTGGGGCCGGCGTCACGTGTCAATTGTGTGGGAAGACCGGCCATGCGGTCTAGAATTGTTGGCACCGCTACGATGAATCTTATTCCGGTCCTCCACAGGCATACTACACCAACCAAAGTGCTGAAACCAATCCGAACCGGCATCTAGACACTGGAGCAACCACTCATGTGACGTCTGATTTTTCTCGGCTACATACTTCTTCACCCTATCATAGCACCAACTCTATTACAACTGCGGGAGGTAATACTTATCCTATTGACCATACAGGCTCAGGTATTCTAACCACTCCAAACCATACTTTTACATTAACCAATCTTCTTCATTCTCCTCATATTAATTCTCACCTTCTATCCGTTTATCAATTTACCAAAGATAATAAATGTTCACTACTTTTCACTTCCAAGGATTTTATGATTTGGGACAACACCACCAACCAAGTTCTTTTCAAGGGCCCTTGTGAGCGTGGATTATATTCACTCTCTGCCTCCAGTTCGTCACCAGTGGTCAATTCAGTCAAAGTTACTCCCTACCAATGGAACTGCCGTCTTGGTCATCCTTCCATTCAAGTCACTAAGTCTCTATTATCTCAATTAGGTTTTAAATTTCAAGAACTTGATCATTGTAATTCTTGTTCCGTTGTTAAATCTCATAAACTCTCCTTCCTTGTGTCGCAAACTAAAGCGTCTGCCCCTCTTGAACTTCTTCACTCTGATGTATGGGGACCTACTTCCGAACCCTCATTTGGAGGTTATCACTTTTATATTAATTTCATTGATGATTTTACCAAATTTTCTTGGTTGTACCCTCTTAAACATATGTCTGATGCATTTGATGCTTTTCTCAATTTTCAATCTATGGTTCAAAATCATTTCAATGCACAAATTAAAATCTTTCGAACTGATAATGGGCGGGAATATGCCAATACAAAATTTGGTTTGTTCTTACAAAGTTTGGGGGTTCTACATCAAAAATCTTGCTGATACACTCCTGAGCAAAATGGGGTAGTTAGCTGAAAGAAAACACCGCCACTTAGTAGAAACCCTTGTCACACTCCTTTGCACTGCATCTCTCCCAACAAAATTTTAGGTTGAAGCCTTAGCCACGGCGAATTTTTTGATCAATCGCATGCCCAAACGGTCTCTGAATCACAAATCTCCCTATGAGTCTCTCTTTCACAAACCTCCAGACTATTCCATAATTCTAATTTTTGGGTGTTTATCCTATCCGTGTATCCGCCATGAAATCACTAATAAATTCCAACCCCAGTCCAAACCTTGCATATTCCTTGGCTATGATTCCTCCTCCAAAGAATATCGGTGTTTTGATCGCACCACGGGTCGTATATACATCTCCCTCATGTCTAGTTTCAAGAAAATCACTTCCCGTACTCCACCGTACTATGAGCCAACCCAGCGGTCTTGGAGATGGCTGCATCTGAGACGGAAACCCCTGAAGTCCCTTTTGCAATATGACTTTTGCAGTGTTCTCTTCTAGCTACCAAGATGGGTTCATCCACCTTTGTTTTACCTATAATCTGGGTAAGGAATGAGGAAAGGTAGCTGAGGAGAGGAGAAATGCCATCCTTCCCATTGGTTGGAAAGTAAATCTAGCAAGATCCTTCAGCTCTAAACTCAATAATACTAATATGTTTTCCGTAGTTGTTGGATCCAAATGAGATTGAAAGATTTCTATGAGGCTCATTTTTCCTTATGAAGTGAAATTGAAAGTACATTTGGGGTCTTAAAAAAAATAAATGGTTTATGTTAAAAATCATGAAAAAATAGCCATTTCCTAAATAAGTTTTAATAGTGACTGCTTGTATGACTTTGCATAACTACATACGACGATATGTTGGTCACAAAGATTTTGATTTTTTAAAATTTGAAGACGAAGATGATTAGTTCGAGAAAGATTCAGATAACGAAGAAAGTTCAACAACTCATCGCAGAGGCACCAATGAATCACAAATGAGCTTGCTTAGAGATAAAATAGAAGACATTTGGTGAGATATAGGGTCAACCTCTTATTTTCTTAACAAAGTTCAATATCTAATTATTTTCAAGAACTTATTAAGTCAATTTTTTTTAATACAATGTTAAATAGCATATTCAAAATACTAAAATTGTTATCAAAATACTCGGGTAAATTTCACCCATAGTATACAAACTTTCATCATTATTTTACTTCGGTATATAAACTTTATTTCCTATCACAAAAGTACACGAACATTCTTTCACTGGGGGTCCAATAAGCGGTTTCTAGGTCACCTTCAGGTCATTTGTGGTCAAATTATAATTTTATAAATTTAAATTTTTTATTTTGACCCCACCCTTCCCTCCCCTTTTCTCTCTTCCTCTTTTCCAGCTAGCCCCCCCACCCCCACGCACTTTGTGCCTTACAATTATCAATTAGCCACTATTTGATTCTTGAATATTTATTTATTTGATTATCTTAAATAAATCTGTCAGCTGCCACCCCTGAAGAGCTTTCATGTGAGACTGATGAGCATTGTATTGGATGTTGATGTTGAGCCATCTACCACACCATGGGATGTTGCGAAGGCATATTTATTTGTTCCTATTTCTGGTTGTGAATCTGTAAATGGCATTGATTGGGATCTTGTTGAAAATATAACTAAGACGGATGCATGGAGAAATCCACTGCAGAGAGCTAGACCTGATGTTTATCTAGGCACCAATGAGCAAGCACTTGGTGGAGATAGAACGGAATATGGTTTCGGAAAGCTGCGCAATGGATTAGCTTTTGGGGTGAAATCGCATCATACTTATGGCATTAGAGGTGCTGTGGCACAATTTGATGTGGTGAAAGCATCTGGATTGGTTCCTAGCAGTCCAACCATTAGAAAAGGGAGGGAAGGGTGGGGTCAAAATAAAAAATTTAAATTTATAAAATTATAATTTGACCACCGGTGAAAGAATGTTGAAAGTTCGTGTACTTTTGTGATAGGAATTACAGTTTATATACCGAACTGAAATAATGATGAAAATTCGTATATCATGGGTGAAATTTACCCCAAAACACTCCACAAAGTTGTATGTTTTCTATTTGCATAGTTAAACTTCGTTCACTTTGTATCTTTATTTCCGTAACTCATTTGAAAAAGTAATATAGTAATGTCACCTCTTGTTTGTTAGATTTTGTTTTTATATAGTTTTAAAATAAGTTGTATTGAAAATAAATTTAGTCAAACATCGTAAACCGAAACATGTAATTTAAATTGGGACAAAGGGAGTATGTTAGGATTTGATTTGATATTAATATGGATATTATTCTAATATGTCTTGATACGATTGTATTTGATATTACTCCCTCCGTCCCTGAGTGTTTGTCCACTTTCATTTTTGCACACCATCCAATGTACTTCTTTAATCCATTTTATCTTGTAATTTGTATATTAAAAAATTATAAAAATTATATATTAATAATCTATATGTTAAGACGAATCAAACAAGATCACACATGACTATTTTTAGGCTTACACATTGAGAGAATTTGATGAGTCAAAGTGCTTAGATGAACAATTCCAAAAGTCAAAAGTGGACNTATTCTAATATGTCTTGATACGATTGTATTTGATATTACTCCCTCCGTCCCTGAGTGTTTGTCCACTTTCATTTTTGCACACCATCCAATGTACTTCTTTAATCCATTTTATCTTGTAATTTGTATATTAAAAAATTATAAAAATTATATATTAATAATCTATATGTTAAGACGAATCAAACAAGATCACACATGACTATTTTTAGGCTTACACATTGAGAGAATTTGATGAGTCAAAGTGCTTAGATGAACAATTCCAAAAGTCAAAAGTGGACAAACACTCAGGGACGGACCAAGTATGTATTATGCTATTATTAGTCATCCCATGATAACCACAAAAGGATCCAAACACATGCATACGTCCAAACATGGAGCAACTGCGCATGGGCATTCATAATATCATGTTGGTTATTTGTTTGGATCAGAATTCATTGTATAGGCATTAACATATATTTCAGACCATGTACATGGCAAAACACAGAGGAAAATATACGAAGAACATTGCTTCGGATCTCTTTATTTTTCGATCATTCTCTTTATTTTTCTATCATGGTATCAAAGCCTTAAACTCCAAAAATTCTGTTCGTTAGCGCGTACTCCGGACCGTCGGCGTCGCTGAGGAATCGCAGCCGACCATGTCTTCCGAGGAGCCAATCACGACGAACAAAAATAAAGTTCTTGAAGAACTTCCGCAGCGGCGTACGATTTCTCCGTACGATCTTCATGCAAATGACAATCCTGAAATGGTTATTACACAGGTTGTCCTGAAAGGTGAGACCTACGAAGAATGGGCGCGTGCTATCAGAACCGCTCTTCAGGCACGGAAAAAGTTTGGATTCGTCGACGGGTCTATTCTGCAACCATCGGAGGACTCAAACGACCTTGAAGACTGGTGGACGAACAATTCCTTGATCGTTTCGCGGATACGAAACACTATTGAATCCTCTCTTCACACCACCATTTCCCACATGGAGATGGCTAGTGAATTGTGGGAAGATATTAAGGCACAATTCCTGGTGGTGAATGGACCCCGGATTCAACAAATTAAACGAGAGTTAACGACGTGCGATCAATGCGGCTTGAGCATAGCCGCCTATTACGGAAAATTTAAGAAATTGTGGGATGATCACAACGACATTGACCCGTATCCTGTTTGCACGTGCGGGAAGTGCACATGGAATATTGCACAACTCGAGAAAAGACGTGATGAAGGAAAGGTACATCAATTTTTAATGGGCCTTGATGACAAGATCTTTGGTCATCTTCGATCTACAATTTTGTCCCAAGAACCATTCCCTTCCACGTCTCGTGTCTACGCATTTTGACACAAGAAGAAACTGCTCGCGCTACCCGTGCTCACGCTCACCCGGAGAATGCAGTGTTTGCTGCCCGAGGCACGCCTTCTGATGCTCCTCGTGACAAAACATTAACGTGCAGTTATTGTAAAAAGAACGGGCACGATAAAAACTCTTGCTTCTAGCTTCACGGGTATCCTGAGGGCTGGGGAAGTCGTGGTTGGGGAGGTCGTGGACGAAGTCGTGGTCGCAGGGCCAATACTGGTCGTAGCACAGCCACGGTGCCGCACACAGCACATGCTGCAGCAGTGACTGGAGGCAGCGGACATGGGCCAATATCGTCTGGCACAATTTCTTCGCTTACGGCTGACAGTTTGTGCTTTGCTCGCATCCGTCAAAGACGGGTCTGTAGAAAAACTGTCAGGTATTCCTTTTACTAAAACCCGTCAAAGACGAGTACGATTGAATGATTCTGTGATATTGAATAACGTACTGTTTGTGCAAAATTTGTATTGTGCATTGATCTCGGTCTCTCAATTGATAGCAGAGACTAACTGGTTGGTTAAATCCGATGGAACATTATGTATTTTACAGGATCGTACCACGATGCAGGTGATTGGTGCGGGTAGGCAGAGCGATGGGTTATATTACTTTCAGCAATCCATGAGTGGGGGCGCAATGACAGCGACAAGGGAGTGCTCATTTGACTTTTGGCACCGACGTTTAGGACATTCGTCTGCTAAAGTTCTGTCTTTATTTCCTCTAGCTAATAATAACAAAGCTAGCATCTTAAACAAAGAACCTTGTTCTGTTTGTTTACGTGCCGAACAATCTCGAGCTAGTTTTCTATTAAGTAATAATAAGACTACGCATTTGTTTCAGCTTGTTCACATTGATGTTTGGGGTCTTTATCGGACATCGAGTGTGGAAGGTTTTAAGTCTTTTCTTACTATTGTGGATGATTACTCTCGTGGGACCTGGGTATATCTTTTACGTAGTAAATCTGAAGTTTCCTTGATTTTTCGTCAATATTGCGCCATGGTTGCTCGTCAGTTTGATGCTAAAGTAAAAATAGTACGTAGTGACAACAGAATAGAATTTGAATGTTTGGATCCATATTTTCGAGAGCAAGGAATTTTGCATGAATGCTCATGCAGAGCCACGCCTCAACAAAATGGAAGGGTGGAGCGCAAACATCAACATATTTTAAATGTTGCTCGTGCTCTCTGCTTTCAGGGTTTCTTACCGATTGAATTCTAGGGTGAATGTATCCTTACCGCAGCTTATCTAATAAATTGTGCCCCTTCGGTCTTATTAAATGGGAAAACTTCGTATGAGATTATGTTTGGGAGTGCACCGGTAATGTCTCACATATGAGTTTTTGGTTGTCTTTGCTACATTCAAAATCAGGATCGACATGGAGAGAAATTTGAAACTCGTAGTCAACCGGAGTTTTTATTGGCTACCCTTTCGGAAAGAAAGGATGGCGTGTGTATTCTCGCGACACGGGGAAATTTTTTATTTCTCGTGACGTAATTTTCTGTGAGGATGTTTTTCCTTTTCAGGATTCTGTTCCGGCCCAAGGTCCTACTGTAGCACAAGATTTTTCTCATATTGACGACGATGAGATCCTTCGTCCGCAACTACCATCTAGGGGGGTTCAGACTCGCCTACTGCCGCTACACCCGGGGGGCATCACCTGCTGCCATCACCACCGGCAGTCAATCTACTGTATAGAGGGAGAACTCAACATCACCGCCGATCGCATTGTTGAACCTGCCCAATGACGGGCTGCCACTCTCCCAGCAAGAGACTCCATCACAAGAGCTTGTGTCTCAACCTGAGAATATTTTGATGGGTCGTGGGCATCGATAGAAAACCAGCAATATTCGGCTTTAGGATTACTACACCTATACGGTCTCAAAGGAGTGGTCGTCATGTAAATATCCTTTGAGTGATGTTATTTCTTATACACGGTTTTCTGATCATCATAGGAGTTATTTAGCTACGATTGATGTTGTGTATGAACCACAATCTTATCAAGCGGCGGTCAAATCATCCTCATGGCGCGCGGCGATGGCAGAAGAAATCACTGCTCTAGAAAACAATAATACTTAGCGCTTGGTCCCTTTGCCTCCTCATAAAAAGGCTTTGGGATGCAAGTGGGTTTATCGTATCAAAAGAAAGTCTGATGGTTCAGTCAAGCGGTTCAAGGTGCGGCTTGTTATTCTCGGAAAAAAACAGGTGGAAGGTATTGACTATAATGAGACCTTCACCCGTATTGTGAAACTTACCACCGTTCGTGTGCTCTTGGCGGTGGCCGCGGTGCGAAACTGGGAGTTGCATCAGATGTACGTACATAATGCTTTTCTTCGTGGTGATCTGTCCGAGGAGGTTTACATGAAGCTTCCACCCGGCTTTCGGCCTCAAGCAAAAAATGTGGTGTGTAAACTGCGATAGTCTCTTTATGGTTTGAAGCAAGCTCCTCGTTGTTGGTTTGCTAAACTCTCAGGCGCCTTGCGATGGTATGGTTTCACTCAATCCTATTCTGACTATTCTTTGTTCTCATATACTCGACCTGGTTCTGTGGTGCACGTTTTGGTTTACGTGGATGATTTAGTTAGTGCCAGGGACAATTCTCTTGAAATTGTTTGCTTCAAGAAATATTTAAGTGATTGTTTTCATATGAAGGATCTGGGCAATTTAAAATATTTTCTTGGTGTAGAGGTGGCTCGTAATCGAAATGGAATTTTTCTGAACCAAAGGAAGTATATATGCACTTGATATTACCACTGAGACGGGTTTACTCGGCAGTCGCCCGTTGGGTGCTCCTTTGGAGCCTAATCACAAGCTTTACCTGTCTTCTAGTCCTTTGCTTGATGATCCAGAGGCATATCGACGATTGGTTGGCCGCTTGGTATATTCATCCGTTACTCGCCCAGACCTCTCCTATTCAGTACATACTTTGGCTCAATTTCTTCAAAATCCGAGGACTGATTATTGGAAAGCAGCGCTAGGAGTGGTTCGTTATCTAAAAGGCACTCCGGGACATGGGATTCTGTTACGTACAGACAGTTCTTTTCAATTGACTGGTTTGTGTGATTCGGACTGGGCTGCTTGCCCTCTCACTTGTCGCTCTTTAACAGGTTGGTTTGTCCAGTTGGGAGTCTCCCCGGTCTCCTGGAAAACAAAGAAACAACCAACGGTGGCTCGATCATCTGCTGAGGCAGAATATCGCTCCATGGCAGTGCTTACATGTGAGCTTAAGTGGCTCAGTGGCCTGCTGCGATCTCTAGGTGTAAACCATTCTTCTCCGATGCAAATATTTTGCGATAGTACATCAGCCCTCCATATTGCATCAAATCCCGTCTTTCATGAGCGCACTAAACACATTGAGATTGACTGTCACTTCGTTCGGGATGAGCTGTTACGTGGTTCAATTCGTACTTCACATGTTTCTACTCACAATCAGTGTGCGGATATTTTCACGAAAGCTCTTGGCAAAGGTCATTTTGAAGCCATTCTTCCCAAGTTGGGCATGCCCTGTTCTCAGAAGCAGATATTATTATGGCATTCGCCCCTCCACTTCCAACCACAATATCAGTCACCTTCAAAGTATCTTCAGAAAAGCTATGCTCATAGGGGCGTTCTGCCTGTTTCCTCATAAAATCGTCAAATACCCTAGTCACATAAGGTCCAAGCCTGCAAAAAACATATCTTCCTCTATTATAGGTTTGAAATTTCACATAAGGTTCTGCCTGTTTCCTCATAAAATCGTCAAGTTCGAACAAATTTGTAAAGAAACATTCAATATATCAAATATTCAACCTCAATTCTGCAAAATTCTTATAACTTACACACAATACTAAAATCTAATCACCTAATAAAAAACCAAGCATAAACAAAGAAGAAATTGAAGAACAACTCGAATTCAGAGTTAATACCAACAAACAACTATAAAACTATGGAATTTTCGGACCTTGGCGCTGAAATTTGTCATCAGGTCGCCTTATAAATTGTCGCTGTTATCGCTTTCCTCGTGCGTGTCTTCTCCCATCGGAAATCAGAGCCGGAGGGCTATCCTCTCCTGCCGTGCTCCATCTGGTCGTTGAGTACCGCATCGAAGAAGAAGAAGAAGATGCGGATCTGCGAACCCTCTCTCAGTCTCGAAGATTGAAGTCTAGATCTCGAGAATGTATTCTTCGATACGGCGTCCTCTTTTCTTAACGAGGAGATTGCAAATATCACCTGTAATTAATTAATAAATTAATTTTTTGAAAAACTAATAAAAAGGGGGGAAAAGTCCGCCTCTTTTCTTATTTTATATTAGAGGGAGAATTATTCGACTCTTTTTAATTTAATTAATTTGTTTGGTTTATCATAAGCGGGCGATAACCCCGCCATTATTTTACTTGATATTAGAGGGGGACAAGTCCGCCTCTATTTTAATTCTATTTTTAAAATAAATTTTGGACTTTCTTTTACCACCCTTTTTAATTTTTAATTTTTTCTCTGTATATGCCCGCCTATTTTATTTCAATTAGCTGCGACATCAGAGGCGGATAAATCCCCCGCTAATGAAAATTTCAAATAGAGGGGGAATAATCTCCCTCTAATTCCACGCTAATTAGAGGCGAAATAGTCCCCCTCTAAATTGTATTTGATATTATGTACGGAGTATTATGCTATTATTAGTCATCCCATGATAACCACAAAAGGATCCAAACACATGCATATGCCAAACATGGAGCAGCTGCGCATGGCCATCCATAATATCCGTTTGGTTATTTATTTGGATCAGAATTCATTGTATAGGCATTAATATATACTATTTCAGACCATGTACAGGCGAATCCTTCGGTGCACATCCTAAATAGGGTGTTTTAAAACACTCCTTATGTGTACCAATAATTAATGCACACATGGACACATATCCCACATCATTTACGTATGGTCAAATATTTTTTACTTTGCAATTAGTCCCAAAGATATTTTAGCAAATTACTCATGATACCCAAATTTCAATTCTTTCTCTACCACAAGTCCCGTCATTCCTCTTTCATTTTAAGTATGCCATTTTTCTTGGTTTATATTATAATAATAATAATAATTATTATTATTATTATTATTATTATTATTATTATTATTATTATTATTATTATTATTTTAATTTTGTAACATTTTTTCTGGTATGATCACCTGGAGTTGAAAAAAATCGATATACGTTTAAAAGAAACAAAGTGAAAAATAATATTGTTATTTTGTCTATGATCATATAACTATTACTATACAATCAAATCATGTCAGATTATTTAGTGTTGTATATAATTTAATATTAATAATTTCTTCCCTAAAATTAATAATTTTTACTATTATAATATTATATACAATTAAATAAAAGAAATGTTACATGTGATCAAATGATAGTTATTATTATTATTATTATTATTATTATTATTATTATTATTATTATTATTATTATAGGAACAATAACATGTCAAAAATTTTTTTAGTAACAAAAGTATAAAGAATTGCTCATTTTGTCTGCAAGAGATTTATAAAAAAATGTAGATATAATACAAAAAATTTATTTTACTAGTCAATTAGTTTTTTTGCTTCATAAAAAATAATTCTAGAATAAAATTTATTGATGTATTATATATTAATGAATTAATTGATACTAATATGAATGATCATAATAATGTTACAAAATAAAACTATCATAATAATTTTAACTTTAAATGGAATTCAATTGTATCAAATCTAATTAGATCATAAATAATTTTATTAGATATTATATAAAATTGATATTAAATATTAATACAAAAAGCTTTTTATTAGATTTTTATATCTTGTAAAATAGTTTTCAAAATATGTTTTTATGTAATTAATATACCATATAATTTTGATTTAATTTAAAATTAAATGTTGATCTTAATTAGTTGACTGCAAATAGTTAAAATTACACAAAATATTCAAGAAAAAAATTTATAAAATAAAAAACATGATATTTTATAACTATGTTTCAAAATGGACTTATTAAATTTTAATTTAAATCACAATTTATTGTACTTTTGTATAATTTATAATAAAATTTAAAAAATAACCATTAAAATTTAAATCAAGAAACAATATAATGATGGACGAAGGGAGTACTCATATAATTATTGTGCCAAGATATTAATATTGTTACTACATCCATCCTAAAACTTTCTCTCTGTTTTAGCTTATGAGATTTGACACTCGTTATTTTCAATTCAATTTATTTGATTATAATTATAAAACTTATATTTTTTTATTTTTATTTAGTTTATTAGATTTACTAAAAATAAAAAGTTACTTGTGATTTTTAAAAAATAAATATAATAAAAAAATAAAATTTATGAGGTTTTAAATTAATAAACTAAAATGGGAAAGTTTTTTAGGACAGATGTTGTAGAACTATTAATATCTTGGCACAATAAATATATGAGTACTCCCTTCGTCCATCCTGTTTCTTTCCATTTCACTTTTATGGTCAATATTTTTAAACTTTTACACAAAAAGTATAATGATATTCTGATATAATCTAGATTTAATATATTTATTTTGAAACATCGTTTTGAAATATTAAATTTTTATGCTCAGTTTATTTTTATCCGGAGTTTTTGTCTATTTGCAGTCAACTAATTAAGATCAACATTTGATTTTTAATTAAAATCAAAATTATATGCTACATTAATTCCATAAAATATATTTTGAAAAAGTGTTTTACAAGATATATAAATCTAATTATACTATTTTTGTATTAACATTTAATATCAATTTTATACTCCCTCCATCCCTAAATAAACTTCCCCTTTCGTTTTTTCTTTGTCCCAAATAAACTTCTCTTTTCCCTTAAAAACCCCTTTTACCCCTTACTTTTTCATACCCTACCTATCACATCATACCTTTTTACTAATAATCTACCTATCACATCTTACTTTTACACATCACATCAAGGGTATTTTTGGAAAGTCAACACAAAAATATTCCTCCCTTAAATCCTCAAAAAGTCAAAAATGCAAGTTTATTTAGGGACGTGGGGAGTATAATATCTAATAAAATTATTTATGAAACTGAGAAACGAAAAAATAGATTATTGAGCTCGGTATCTAAGTATCTAAACAAAAAAAAGTGGCATGTGAAATTTGCACTAAATAGGACTAAAACATAATGAATTTCATAATGTAGGACTTAAACTTTTTTATTTCCTAAATAGGATTTAATAATGACCAAGTGGAAGAAATAATGTCCAGTAATGAGGGACATTTAGTTGAATAATGACTACTTGATAATGACCAAAGGTCTTACATTGGGAAATAAAAACATATGGTCCTATATTAGGAAAGTCATTATGTTTTAGTTTTATTTAGGTAAATTTCTCAAGTGGCATACCTAAGGAATTGCAAGTGAAACTAAAAAGTTTAATTTTCTCCGGTATCCCCGAGTAATTGCAAGTGAAACCAAAACGTTTGTTTGACCAATGATGTGGCATAGTGTCCATGTGTGTATTACTTATTGGTACACATAAGGAGTGTTTTAAAACACCTAATTTAGGAGGGGCACCCAAGGATTCACCCCATGTACATGGCAAAACACAGAGGAAAATATACGAAGAACATTATTTCGGATCTCTTTATTTTTCGATCATTCTCTTTATTTTTCTACCAGAGTAGTTGATTAATATTGAAAATACTAAAGCTAAACAATGTGATTAGATACTTTTTTTAAAACACTAAAACTAAAGAGTTATATACATGAATTGTCCCCGTGGTCTTTCATAAGTGGGTAACAAACTTTCAAAAGTTGCAAAATATTCCTTGTGGTCAAAATACAAATTGCAAAATCAGTCCCTCTATTTGAGAATTAATGAAATGTATACAAAACGCGCATATTATGCTAAAAATGTGAACCATGTAACAATAAAAAAAGAGAATCTGATGTTTCACTTGTTATGTACAGTTTGAACCGTAGTAAAATATCTTTCATTTTTTGATTTAACTCTTACAACGACTTCTTCATATCTTCAACATTCATATTATTGAATCGTAGAATAATGTTCTATGTGAACTCGACATTATTCTGCTTTTCAAAGAACTTTATTCTAGAGTAATATAATATTCTCTGATTTAAGAGCTGAAAATAGACCATTCCTTGCTTTTAACCACAAAGACGAGGTCAGTTTCATCATATTAATTTTTTTATTGTTAGATGCTTCACATTTTTCTTACAGTACGCATGTGTGCTTCACGTTCTCTTTAAAGGATAAATTATGCATTAATTCTTTGACTGCACTCATTGCAGGGACAATTTTGTAACTTTTTAACAACACATACGGAGTACTATTTACCTATTTATACAAGGCCACATGCACTATTTATGAATATAACCCAAAACTAAATGCGAAAGATATTGCTAAACAGGAGGCCTTTAATCGTGCTTTTAGCTTTATTTCCACATATACTACCCGGTTTCCAAAAAAAAAAAAACTTCTAATGAAGGTATGACAGATCAATGTGTTATGTGTATTCCTATGTGTATACGTAGAAATGTGTTAGGGAAAAAAAAAGAAATAACGAGAAAGGCCAAACCTATGCTCTGCTCGCACTTTTCATTTTCATTGTGTTTCACAACGAAATGATAATAAAGCAATCCATTCAAAGGCGAATCCAGAAATTTCGTGTCATGGGGTCCTGAGCATGTTGAACTTTGGAATAAATTTTTACTCTTGTTGTCTCAAATTAAACTTTCCGTTTGGACATTCATTGAGTTTTAAAAATTTATGATTGATATTTTTAAAGGGAGAAATAATGTGAAACAACTCAATATTTTACGGAGTATTATATTAGCATTTTTCATGATGGAAGAGAAAAGAATATTTTGTGAGGTGTTATTATGAATTTTACTTAAACAAAGTAGTTAGGTACACAAGGAAGTAAATCATTAAAACATTAATACTTACGGAATATGGAGAGTACTAAACAGTGGCGGATCCAGGATTGTAAATGACTGGGGGCGGGATAATAAGGTGGAAGTTCGGGGACAGCGTCCCCAAATTTTTTTAAAGATGCTTTTAAATTATAATGATTTTCATTTAATTTTATACTCCCTCCGTCCCAAATTATTTGCAACGTTTGCTTTTTCAGCAGTCGCGGGAACTTTTGTTTATTTCTATGTTTTCATTGGTTATTTGATAAAATTAAATATTCTTGACACCTCTTATTTCGAAGAACTTTTCATGTAATTTTTTGATATGTAAATTTTATTTTTTATTTCTATACCAATATGTAAATAAAATAAATTGAAAAAACTTGATATTTCACCTCGGAAATACAAATGTGGCAAATATTTAGGAACGGAGGGAGTATCAAACAAGTTTAAAATAAGTAAAACAACGTATCTCAAAAGTAGCAAAGTGTTATACGGAGTACTAAATGAATTACGTATAACGAAGTATATTTAATATCACTAGAGTATTACAAATAATTCACTTTATATTCTATTCAAAGATGCAACAAACTTTTTTATTAAATCCATAACCAAAAATTGCTATAAACTAAGAAGGAAGTAATATTTGCCTATTTAGACCAGCATTTTATTTACTAGGCTGGTCCACTAAGGTCAGACTTTGGCAGTATACTTAAAACTAAAAAAAATAAAAAAAAATATTTTGACTAGCTGCCCCCATATTCAAGAAGGTGGATCCGCCCCTGGTACTAAATACTCCCTCTGTTCCTTAAAACCCTACTTCTTTCATTTTTTTTGTTTTTCTTAAAACACTTCCTTTCTCTATTAAAAAACTACTTTTACCCCTACTTTTTCATATCATACCTATCACATCATACTTTTTGACTAATAACTAAACAATCATATCTTACTTTTACCCATTACACAAGGAAGTAAATCATTAAAACATTAATACTTACGGAATATGGAGAGTACTAAACAGTGGCGGATCCAGGATTGTAAATGACTGGGGGCGAGATAATAAGGTGGAAGTTCGGGGACAGCGCCCCCAAATTTTTAAAGATGCTTTTAAATTATAATGATTTTCATTTAATTTTATATCAAACAAGTTTAAAATAAGTAAAACAACGTATCTCAAAAGTAGCAAAGTGTTATACGGAGTACTAAATGAATTATGTATAACGAAGTATATTTAATATCACTAGAGTATTACAAATACTTCACTTTATATTCTATTCAAAGATGCAACAAACTTTTTTATTAAATCCCTAACCAAAAATTGCTATAAACTAAGAAGGAAGTAATATTTGCATATTTAGACCAGCATTTTTTTACTAGGCTGGTCCACTAAGGGCAGACTTTTGCAGTATACTTAAAACTAAAAAAATAAAAAAATATATTTTGACTGGGGGAGCTGCCCCCATATTCAAGAAGGTGGATCCGCCCCTGGTACTAAATACTCCCTCTATTCCTTAAACCCTTCTTCTTTCATTTTTTTTCTTAAAACACTTCCTTTCTCTATTAAAAAACTACTTTTACCCTTACTTTTTCATATCATAGCTATCACATCATACTTTTTGACTAATAACTAAACAATCATATCTTACTTTTACCCATTACATCAGGGGCAAAATTGGAAAGTCAACTAAAATTACACTTTCCTTATTTTGCTCCAAAGTCAAAATAAGAACCGTTTTAAGGAACGGAGGGAGTATGATATTAACATCATAAATTTGAAATATACTTCCTCAGTCCTAATTTATAGTGCTTGTTTACTATTCACTCGGTCAAACTTCACTCACTTTCTTTCTCTATTTTCATTAGCAATTTAATAAAAATAAAATACTATTGTCACTACTAATTTTGTACTTCGTAGATCTTTTGATATAGTATTTTAATATATAATTTTTATTTTTTAATTCTATACCATTTGTTATATAAAATGATTTAAAAATAATTTTAGTCAAACATCGTAAACCGAAACAGGCACCATAAATTGGGACGGAGAGAGTTCTAAATACCATTCAAAAAATACATACTAATTATAAAGTGTTAAAAATCTAGGTGCTGTGAAAAAATAAAGCAAACTAAATATTCATTTTGCATAAATGAAATTTGCAATTTGACTTAACAAAATTTTAAAATTTCAAATCAAAATTTTTTAAGATTAACAAATGAACCAATTCAACCAAAAGCTCAAACTTGCGGTTGTTGTCTAGAAGAGGTTTTTAATAATCTAACATGTCCTCTCACGTGCAAGCAAAGTTTTGAGATGTCCAAAATAATAAATATAAACTTAATTATGGAAAGAGGAGAATAATTATAATTCAATTCAAGAAAAAAATAATTATAATTCGTAGCTTATCAAATGATAAAACTATAACTCAAACATAAAAAAATATAATACTCCAACAATCCGAATTCCGGAGGGAGTAAATAAAAGGAAAAATTAAAAGCAACACAAATGATTTCTTGGTACAACAAAAGAAAAAAAAGATTAAAATACTAAGAATGCAACTGGTTTTGAACTCTGGCCTCTATCTCTAAACTTGCAGCTAGCCGTCCACTAAACTACTCTAGTGTACGATTACTAAGTTTCTCACGCTTTCCCAGAACTCATGGGACTCAACGTGGGTCCGTGTCTGAATCCATTTTTCAAACACCCATTTTAGCAAATTTGATTGGTCAAATCCTCAATTTGTTGTCAAAGAAGTTAACCTTTTAATTTGGTGAAAAGTCATTTCCCAAACATTTAGTGAGCTCTTTTTGACAAGAAGAAATATCGTCATTGTGCAATTGACATTATTCATGGACTGGTATTTGGAAGGGAGATTTTGATGCAGAAAAACTAAAAAAAAAATCATATGGCCAGTTTGGTCAAATAAAATTTTGGAAGCTGAAGTTACAAACCCACTTAAAAGTATCGAAAGATGCTTTTGTAAAACAAACACCAACTCGACAGTTATGAGTTATTCACTATAGAAATTTTCTCGAAATACTAACCAAACATCACTACATTCACAACATTATCTCATAAAGTACGAAACAAACGTTTCTTCATTGGTACAGCTCAACACGTTTTACTTGCAATTCAATACTTTATAAGAAGATCACCAAACTGATTTTACGTTATTAAAGTATATGGAGCATAAGTTGCAAATTGAATCTGTGCTACAAGTGAGAAGAAGAAGAAGGCGGCATCCTTCACGCTAGACACGATCACAAGGAACAATTAAAGTAAGTCGAGAAAACAAGGCCAAAAGAACATGAAACTGGCTTGAGCTTTTGCCAACCCATCTATCTAATACGATTTTTAAAAAGAAATTTAACTTCTTCACAAGCATGACTTCTTTTAGCAGTTACCTGCAAGTACGCACCATCATTCAGCATATGCTGCAATACCCTTGCAATGTTTTTTGAATCGTCTATTCCGAGATGGTGACTTCCGAACGGGGGAATATTCAGTTCCCTC